TAATTTCTCTCTAATTTTAGTAGAGGCGGGGGTCTCGCTCTTGCTCAGGCTGGTCTCCAACTCCTGAGCTCAAACAATCCGCCGGCCTTGGCCTCCCAGAGTGATAGGATTACAGACGTGAGCCACTGTGCCCCGGCCTAATAATCTTCTTCTTATTGAAATTAAAGGGTGCCAGTTAGTAGGCATGTTTGAAATTAATTTAGGGTAATTACAGGAATTTGTAAACAAATATTCAAGACACTGTGACCAACCTACACATAATTAATAGAAAAATAATGTATTGTTCTTGATAGCTATTGTTGCTCTTGGTATTAGGCCAAAATAGTTTCCAATTAAAAAGTACATTACGAAAACTTACGGATCTTCTTTCCATTTCTGGCCACACATACCACAATTTGTCTGAGATGCATGCTGTTTTCTATTGTTCATAATTTGCAGCTCATTCAAATAAAACAATTCCAAGAGAATCAATTAAACTTAGGCTGGCAAACTATGGCCTATCTGACCCTCTGCATTTTTGTCAGGTCCATCAGCTACAGAATGATTTTTACTAGTCAAAAAAAATTAAAAATAATATTTTGTGATGTGAAAATTAAATTACATTAAATTTTAGGGTCCATGAATAAAATTTTATTAGAACCCAATTCTGCTCAATTGTTTTTGTACTGTCTGTGGCTGCTTCTGCACTACAATAGCAGAGCTGAGTAACTGTGTAGAGATCCTATGGTTTGCAATGCCTAAAACATTTACTATCTGGATCTTTACAGAAGAAGTTTGATGACAACTCAATGAATGGAGAGCTGAAACATTTTTAGTGGCTTAAATAATAGAATCTACTTTATTTGCTGTTTGGGTAAAAAGTCAAAACTGGTAAATCATAAATACAATTAAAATAAAAATCTAACAATGGTGAAATCATGAAACATATAAAAAAGGTGTAGAGATCTTCCAGTTTCTATTTGCTGATAAAGTTTTTTCTCTTGAGCATAACATACACTTTCTTTTATTAACATTTCAAACTAGTTTTATTAAGATCATGTATTTAGGACTGTGTTCATAGCTATAATGAACTTTCTCTCTATATAAACACCTTTGCAAATTCTAAGGTTAGTTCTCTTTTTTCCTGTGAAAGTGGATATATATATTTTAATTGAAGTAAAATACACATAAAATTTACCATTTCAACCATTTTTAACTGTGTAGTT